GGAGTATGCTCGCTGCACGAGTGCAGGACAAGGTGGTGAGTTGTTCCCGATCTATCTGTTATGTGTATTAACCAGATTGCTGTTGAAGAGTGCGGCGTTACCATATGACTGTGACATTTAGAACGTTGGTGACATCAGCTGGGCGAAAACGCTCGGTTTCTTAATTATTCCATTATCTTTGGTGATAGGGGTGATCTTATTGCAGGTTGCTCTTATTTACTAATCTATGCCATGGAAATATGATTTAACGTGGGATTGTAAATCTCTCTCTCTCTCTCTCTCTCTCTCTCTGTGTGTGTGTGTGTGTGTGTGTGTGTGTGTGAAGAAAGACACCCAATGCTGATTTTTTCAGAATAATTTTCACATACGGGAAACAGGTGTAACAGGAATGAAAGTCCTAGGAATGGAAGTCTGGGCTCCCATATGATTAGTACAGGTGTACAGGTTAGGGTTAATTTGGAGTATTGGGGTTAGTAGGCCTATATGGACGAATGTCACCTGTACAAAGTAATGGGAAGCGGACTACGGTTCCTAGCCCAGTTAGACATTTTTTGGCCTTGTAGAGTATCATATGTAACATCGAACATTTGCACGACTTTGAGCACATGAAAGTATCAACAGCGGGTTTATTGAACATTCGTGAACAGTTTCAGTAACAGCCCCTCACCTAAAATGAGCTATACCTGTTGTTATTTGCATAACAACAAGTTATTCATCGTAGCGCGAGCTGTCTTCCCGAATGCTCACTTGGCAGTTAGACAGAGTCGGGTGTAGACGCAACAGTATGTGTGGGGAAGACAAAAGGTCGAGCTTTCATAAGGCGTGGAAGCAAATGTATGTTTGTGAGTATTACTATTTCTTCATCAACCATAGCCATTAAATACTAACGGGGCAGAAAAATGAGAAAAATATTTACGACAAAATTTTATGACAGGAATCCTTTTACTATTTTTCCATTATTACTTGTTTGTCACTCAGAATGGGAGAAATTATCGCTTACGTGCATTGGGACTCCAAATGTTCAGGTTAAACGGCGCATTCATCTGACTTTTGATGATAACTTAAGTTTGTTTGAAATCCCCTGCACTTTGTAACCCTCTGTTTGAACATTTTGTGTGCCCTGGCCTTGACAATTATTTTGAATATTTTGACCTAATTTAAAATGTCGTGTGTATTTCAATGTAAGTATTACCACCCAAATAAATTAATTTGGATGATGCTTGTCACCGTTCTGAGCTTCTGATCCAAGGATTTCGAGTGCTCATTACACATTGATTAACAGATACATATTTTACACAGCTGTCGTCCCCATTGTGCCGTGTGCTGTCCATCCATTACACGACTCACTGCATGAAAACTTAATATATAAGTGCAATATATTTGTTATAATTTTCGAAAAGAATTTCTAAATGATCTCTTTCTCTGAAATGCGTCAACATGTACTTCAACACGTGCTATAACTTTAAATATCAAGAGTAATATATTAACGGTCGTAGAAATAACCTCACCCACCCTAAAAATGAAACGGTTTAGTTCAAATTTGTAAACATTTTTTTATCTTTTCAGAAGGTCAACGAGATTCTGCACAGCATCCGCCTGAAAGCAGCCTATGAAGTCTAGCCTTTGTTTTACACACAGGAACTCACGCTCCTTCGTACATCTATTATATGAAAACTCAATAAAAAATATTTTGTAATTTGGCGTTTTATTTTTTACTTTGTTATGAAGTTTTCATGATAAGGATAGTGGTAATAAATTTAAAAAAAGTGAGTTATTTTTAGTGTTGAGGACTTTTAAATTCAATCTGATCTGTAAATAATGTCGATGTTTTTGTGGTCGGCGGTTTTCTGTGGTATCTAAATTTTAAATAGTTCTAAAATAGCCAGTAATTTCTAAATAACCCCTCCAAGCTGTTTCTGCGCACTGAAATAATATATCTTAAATCGTTTCCAATATATAGTTCCAATTTATATAAATTTACAATCCTGGTTTTTATAAAATTTCACATGAGAATTTTGTTCTTAAGCATATGGAACTAATTCGTTTGAATATAAGTTTTCCTGCATTTACTTATATCGGGAGGGTCCCATTTTGGCAGGTTTTGGCTTTTGCCATCGTGAATTGTTTAAATTTGGCGACCTTTTCTCAGTAAAACTACTTAATTTGATATTTGAACGTGATAATGAAAAGGTGTAATGATTCTAATGTAAGCTTAAATCAAGTTAATTTTTTAATGGATACAGCTGAAATTGGCAAAAAATTTGATTTCTATGGGGTATAATAAAGCAATTTCTTCAATTCATGTTCTCTGAACCAAATTGCTCCACCTGTCACCCCTTTTATGCAATGGACTCGCCCCACCTGTCACCCCTCTAATCAATTGGACTCCCCAACTTGTCTATCAGATGACCGTGGGGTACCTTAATTGCTTCAACGTCGTTACTGCTAAACCTTTTCACTACTCCTGTGTTAGCTGACCTTGTAAGCAATTCATTTGAATGAATTTTCTAAAATGAAGTTCAAACAATCCATTAATTCATCGCAAAAGCCAATCAACTATCAGGATTATTTGAAAACACCTTTTTAATAATTTTGATAAATATTATTACATAATTGAAGTCTATTTTTAATTTAAAAAAAAAAGCTTTTCAGCGTATGACGCAGGACCTTGTCCAACATTATACGGACAGCGTATGGTGCGACTACTACTGCTTGCTTTATTGGTAAATATAATCGACACATATCTTTTTATTTTTATAACATTGTAAGAACGTTTTAATACTCGATGGGATGATTTAAGTTGCGCAAATTGTTTTTGCTAAAATTAACAAAAATGCATAAATTGTAAATTTCATCAAAATTTATATACGTTAATATACAACTTGCTGACAACTTTTCTCGGATCAATGATAATGACAGTGGCAGTGTAGAACGTTAGAATAACTTTCTCTTAACACTTGTTAATGGTCTAACCAATATATAACCCAGTTTTCCAAACATTCTGTGTAAGCTGGGTATACGTTACCTTCATCATTTTGCATGTGTTAAAAACATTTATTAACAAGATACCTAATAGGGGGCCTATCTATGAAATTTAACTTTATTTATTTTTATTTTTTAAATAAACTCAAATGGCATTAAATAGATTTTTTTATTAATAATGACAAGTAATAAGTTATTGTTTAAAAGTAACTACAAAATTATCAACCTTAACGGTACACTTCATTGATTTGAAAATCCCCCAAATGCCATCCACAGCAGTGGCAGATTTATGGGGGTGTTGGGTGGGGGGGGGGGGGGGCCCTGACTCCCCTCCCCCTCCCCTTTAATTTCTGAAAAAAAATCACACTTGCAATTAGAATTTTGAGTAGCTGAATCATAGTTCTAAACCGTACCAAATGGCACCTTTCGCCCTCTAAATTACTAAAAAAAAAAAAAATTCGAGGCCCTTCAGTAGGCCCCGAACCCCATTCCAGGGGGAAAGGTCGGCGTCACATCTGCGGACTTCCCCCCCCCCCTTTCAATAAATCCTGGATCTGCCCCTGCATATGTATTATAGCCAAATTCAGAAAGTGTCTTATATCACTTGCCATTGTACCTATTCACAGGGAGAAACATCCAAATATAAACTTTTTATCTATATTAACATTTACGCAGGAGAACTGTCGCGAAGTAATTGGTACAGTTCACAAATATACAGACTTTTCCAAAAATAGATTTTAAATTATTAAGAAATTGTCATTTTTGTCTTCAAGTAATATTTTCTAAATGCCTATTGCAGTTTGTTACAGTTGTTTAGTGTGTCATCTTTGATGGAGAAGATTTTTGCTCTGCTCGCTTATTTAGGGTCATAAAATTGTATATCTTCTCTGAAGTAAATAAATGCTTTCAAAAATGCATATAATTATAGGCCTACTATGTGTGTTTCTGAGTGTAAAGGATTGTCGAGCCGATCGTAGTTTTCTGTAAAAACTTACTTAAATAACAGAAAGATTTTTTGGATACGCATCTAATATACTTCGTCGCAGTCTTTAGGGTCTTTAGGAAGAACGTAAGTTATTAATTGCTTAAAAAGCAATTCAATGAACGTGCTGTAGGCCGAGTAATAGATCAGCATTCGACACAAAAACTTCATTGATACGCATGCAAAAAAAAAAAAAAAAAAAAAAAAAAAAGAGAGAGAGATTGTTAATTTATTTTAAAATGGTCTTACTGTCCCAAAATTCACTCGTTTCGGTAGATGAGACGCATCGCATTTCACCAAACTGCTTTTAAATTGCATTGCTGGCTAGTGGAGGAAAAGAACACATCCGTCGATTCACGCTCAACTGCTGCAGCACAAAACTTCATATTGTATGGTGCGTCGTACTGTAGGTTATGCTGTCATCTCGGCTAGTTTACGACCATTAAAACGATACTCAGATAACAGACGGTGAGGGCATCACCGCCAGATTTTACCCCTCTCTCTCTCTCTCTCTCTCTCTCTCTCATGGCATGCGCCGTATTATCTCCTCATTCATCATTTTAGATTAAAAAATGTAACTGAGACGCAAACGTCACGCCTTTCTTTTTTTTCGTGAAATTTAATAGATCTGTCTTCGATTCGGTGCTTTTTAATCAAAATGAGAAAAATGGGCACGCCACAAAAAATGTCACTGGCTCCTGCGTCTACAAGATCCTTAACCACACAACGCAGACATCTTATTATTATTGAACCCTCCTTAAGAAAATTGATTACATCACTTCATGGAAATTATAACAGTAAGAGAGGAAAAAGGAAAGACTGGAGAATGCATTTACCAATATTATATTTGTCGTCCAAACATGAAATGTTTCTGTACTGACTATTTTGAGAACATATCTAGATTTTGATCAGTCAAATAAATCTTTTGGGGCTGATGATTTTTTTTCTTCGTGACAGGTTTTACAATGGTTCGCTTTTAGCTGAGATATCCTTTTTTTCTTTCTTTCTTTTTTACACTATTTTACTGTCTTCAAACCTCCAAAACCATGAAATTCTAGACATAAAATGGAGAAGGAAATGTGCCAAAACTTATGGCTTGATTATAGGGGTCACTTTGACACTCAATGTTATAGACGTGAGTCATTGCCGTAGACAGCCGAAGTGTCATCGGCTATGTCCGTGCAAGGAAAGTGCCCGGATGATCATTCAAGTTAAACATGGCGCTCACCTTAGCAAGACGGTCCTGTCACTGTTTATTTTGTGAACTTATGTAAAATGATCAGGGTTAACAGTCATTGCCGAGGTGTTTAAGCCACTGAGAACAAAGGGAATATCATTTTCTTCTCCGTGTTCGATTCGGAGACGAATCGAGGGAGGAATAAGCATAAAATGACGGATAAAGTCAAAGTAGCGGTGCGAGTTCGCCCGTTCAATCGAAGAGGTGGGCTGAGTCTTCTTCATCGATTTCGCGAAAATTCTGAGGATGGTTTTTTCTCGGTGTAAAACTCATGGCGTGAATTTCTTTTTCGTTTTCAGAGGTGGACATAGGGAAACAATGCGTGGTGGACATGAAAGACTGCCAGACCGTTCTGTATCATCCAAGCGGGACCCACGACAAGGACAGGTGAGTGACTGTGACGTCATACAGGTGCGCTGTGACATTCCATTATACTCATTTCGGGCCCTAGATTAATCTTCATTATGCCAGGCCATTAGGGTAACCGTGCCCCGAAGGTGCACAATCAACACACTCGATTTTATTCCTAAGTTTGTGTTTGTTTGGTTGTTTTTGTATGTTTTTGTGGTAAGAATGACCTTTAAGAAACTGGTCTGTATTCACTGATCCCGTCTATGAATAATTATCAAGGGTTATATTTTAAACATGTAATTATTTATGTCATTGGCATACAGGATGCAATTTATTTTTTCCTCTCAATCGAATGCTCAGACCACTTAATCATTTCTCCCTGTGTGCTTTTTATTTTTTCGATGAAAGGAGAAAAATCACCTTTGCATAGTCCTGTACCCTTAAATGGCTTAATGTTCATGAATGATTTATTGTTGATATCAGTTTGTTGTTATTATTGATGTATCACTTTCACAGACTATAATTTTTTGTATACACTATATGGCTGCCCAATACTGAAAGGGAAACAAGTGCAAAATATTTTCATATTTTTATATACTGCCTATGTAACTTGGCATAAAGAACCACCATTTTTGTGTGCACTGTTAATATGGGAAAAAAAGGGGGGGGGAGCTGGTGGCTCTCCTGCTGAGTGAGTAATTGTGCATGCAGTTATTGGATCAGATAGTGATAATGATGGTGATGACTGAAAATGACATAATTATTTAAGTGGGCTGTATGACATTTTGAAATTGATCATGATGTAACGAGTCTGTTTCATAATCTGACGCGTAGATGTCCACTTGCTGCATATTTGTATTATTGAGAACATTCGGTTGAGAGGAAAAAATAAATTGCTGGAATGTACAATATGGTATGCCTGACAGTGTGCTGAAACCTATATAAGTGGAAAAAGAAAAGAAAACTTTTCTGTCTTGCAGGCAGAGAAAGGAACCAGACAATCACCATAAAAGAGATTGTCTTTGATATTAACTTGATGTAGAATCTTTTCTTTCTCTCTCTCTCTCTCTCTCTCTCTCTTTCTTTCTCTTGCTCTTGCTCGCTCTTAGTACATGCCTGATGTAACATAATGCTCCAATAAGGAACTCATTATAGAGAAAATTGCATTTGCTCTCTCCTTGGAATACAAAGATTCAAAGTCATGAAAAGATAAAACCCTTCCTTGAAAAAGATACTAGGTTCTTCTCGTCCTGAATTCTAGATTAATCCCAGAACAGTTTTTTTGTTCTCAGCTGCATGGCTTTATCAAGGATGGAATGGTTTCTCAGAGTTATTGCTCAAAGACTGATAAAGCCTCTGGTAGCAGGTTGTTCCATTAAAGTGTGTAACAGAGGAGAAATGTGTTGGCAGTGGTTTGTTGGTGAGACCTTACACTGCCCCCCTGAGTTTATGCCAGGCCAGTGGCATGCAATTTCAGTAGGGAGGGGGGAGGGGTCTTTTATTTTTCCTTCCTTCTTTAACCCCCCCCCCCCCCCTCCCCAGATCTTACTTGAGAAGACCATAGAGACTAGATCAACGTTTGGAACTTTTCTGTTCAAAAGGGTGATTTCTTCAATCCCCCCCCCCCCCCAAGGCAGTGTATTTGTGTACTTTGGTATTATACATCTGTCTCTTCAACCCCTCCCCCCCACCCCAGGGAAGGAAAGGGGGGAGAGTGTACCCAGGTATTATACAGCCATGGGCTTTGGGGGTGTACTAGTAAGTTGGTGAACCCACAATAAAAAAACTCATCAACTTGTACCACAAGCCCTCTTTTCATGACTGAAATGAGATAGATGATCATTAGCTGTCCATATATAAACTATTTACTATTTATTGAGATAGGTCAGGGTATCTATTATCTTTTAAGTATCATCGGGGCTTGATGGTTGACCTCATATATTGACCTTATTTAAGTTAGGATTAGGGGGCGTACTGTGTGTGTAGACCCACATTTGTGTCAAGGACAGCAAGGTTGTCAGGAGAGTTTGAAGTTAAAGGGTATTTTAACTGGCAATGGCAAAGAAAAAGAGGGGAAGTTTTGAAAAAAGTGTGACTGTGACTTTTATGTGTCACATTTATGAAAACTTATTAATATATCAGGTCAAAACTGCCATAGATAAGGGGTTAGAAAAAACCCACTCTAAAGGCTCACTCTGATTGAAAATTTGAACTTGAATTCCACATTATGTCCATATTTGTGTCCACTTAAATAAAACAAGGGGGTAAAAGTCCATGTCTTTAGAAAAAGAACCCCCTCCCCCTTAGAGTTGTCCACTGCAGTTAAATAACTCTGAAATGATATTCATGTTTGTAACTTGTGGTAATTGTGGTATCTGAGCTATTAAATTTATAACATTGTACTAGTAAGTAATAGATCATCTCCAGTGATAAACCTGCATGTGACACACATTATATATATATGACACATAACTTGCATAAGTACAAAGCTGGCATGTGGTGGAGAACTGACTAATGCTTTGGTGGATGTCCGAAAAACAAAATATCCAGACATGCTGTTAATACATGCATTTATACATGGTGTGTTATATGCATTTATGCATGGTATGTTACATGCATTTATGCATGGCGTGCGTGTATTGGAGATACGCCGCATTTGGGTCTTATGTTCTTGATATCCGTTGTGGTATATATTACGCCATCTGCATGTAATTTTGGCCATTCAGTTTTTGCATCTGCTTAAATGTGAGGTTTAGAATGTCTGGAAGAGAGGTCGTAAAATCCAGTCAAATTTAATTTGCATGTAATTTTGGCCATTCAGGTTTTGCATCTAGTCTAATGTGAGGTTTAGAATGTCTAATAGTGAGATCATAAAATTCAGTCAAATTTAATTTGAAATTACTGTTTGCTTTGGCCCTGATTTAGTGTAGGATAATAACGAAATCATCCTCATCAGTTATTTAATTTTTGGGTTCAGTACATGGTTTTGTCCAAAAATTATATATTTCTGTCTAATTCCATTGAAGTCCTGTCTGTTACTGTTCTCATCTATGTGGTGTAATAACATCTGATATCATCCTCATCAATTTTATTTATTGATTTTTATTCAGTCTTACAGACTCTGCAGTGAGTTCAAAAGTTTACGACTTTATCCTACTGGGAATTTTATGATATATATTATGCTTACTGTTAGAGCCAGTTTGCAGCTAATCTTTAACTGTTTATGAATCAAAATGATTAAGTATGCTCTGAGATTTCCTTTTAGCGTTCATAGAAAATGCAAGAAATTCATGCAGCTTTATATTAAGCAAAAAAGAAAGGGTCGCAAGACAGGTCCGGAAAGGGGGTGGGGGTTTCAATAAGAATGCTCTTTTGGAAAGGTAAATGATTGCTCTGACTTAAGATATTATCTAGATTCTGTGATGTTTTGGCTGAAAGGTAATCATTTTTTTTTTTTGGAAAAAACACCTGCTCCACCTCCCCCCTCTCCCCCTTGTAAATTTCTGGCTACAGGTTGACAAAACATCGATTTTCTCTTTTTTTATTTGAACTATGTCATAGTGATTGATAGTAGCTACAAGCACCTTGGGATAATGCCTAAAAATTATGCGATTGCCTTTTTTCAGCTAGAATCCCAGAAATGGTTTGTCTAACCTCTAGACTTACTATTATATTATTCTCTCTGTGTTTATACATTTGGCCTAAATCTTGTTTTATGTAACCAGAAATTATTTCTGATGCCTTCATAACACTCCCAGGCTATGGCTATTAGGACTAGAGCTAGGCAGTTATGACTTCATAAAGCCCACATCATGACATGATGCTAACTGGGGAAGTTATAAAATTCTCTCTCTCTCTCTCTCTCTCTCTCTCTCTCTCTTTGTGTGTGTGAGAGAAGAGAGAGAGAGAGAGAGAGAGAGAGAGAGAGAGAGAGACAAGCAAAAAAAAATCTGTATAATGAAGAACATTCCTCTTCAATCACCTTAAAGAAAGAAAAAGAAGCACCCACCCCTACACCCTAATTAAGGAAAAGTGGATTCTGTTAAGAAAGATGTTCATAGAACACAGTATAAAGATATACTTTAAAATCATATGGATGCAGTATGTGTAGATATCTGAAGCCCCTCTCCCACTGTAAAGTACTAGACAATACTGGACAATACTGGTGCACTTCTGCTGTCAGGCAGGTGCTTTATCTAACTTCTCAGCTCTGGTCTCCTCTTTCTATTAGTATTCAGGGAAGAAATTCTTCCTCCTCTTGGCTGTGTTCCACCTGTTTATTTGTGACAGAGGGTTAAGAAAATGTTGGTTTAGGTATGTCTGTAATTATCAAAAGAAATGGAGAAAATTTCATTATTATCAAACAGTTTTTTTTGGAATTAATAAAAGCTGGTCCTTCCATGTCTTGGCAAGTTGTTAAAAAATGGTTTTAAGTTTTGACCTTGGTCTTGAAATACATCAAACTGGGGGTGGGGGGGAGGGGTGTGCAGGAATGACATCATTCTAAACTTGTTCAGAACTCCACAAAGAGAAAAAATGGCAAAAGTGACCAGCTGGTTAGACTATTTTATCCAGATACTGATCTGCTATATTGTCAGTCCACAGAGAGAGAAAAAACGGGAACAGATGCAGTAAACTGACCTTTTATTTCTCTTTAAGAGAGATTTCAAATATATTTGGAGTCGAAGATTACTGTCATTTTCCCTGGAATATACTGATAGAGTCTGTTAATGTCTCATCTTTAGTCATTAAAATCCCATTGTATAGGGGTAACCTTCACAGGATGTGTGGACTGTATTTGAAGCACTTTGCCAGCTTGTGTCTGGGTAGCCACTCTTGCCGTTTCAGAAGTACATGTATACTTAGTCATACTTAGGGTGCATTCCCTTAGATTTTAGATCGATCTATCCCCTTGGGGAGTCTCACTAGATTAATGTCAGATAATCCGGCTTAAATGTCCATCTTGCCTACTACAAGCTGTAAGGGGGTAATTAACTTTCGTGCCCGCTCGGCTGACGGCTATTTAGCATGAACCC